CGATTTGTGTTAATTTCGCGGAGGGGGGAGGGGCTGTTTTCAGTTGCAAATGCTGAAATCAAGGTCGCGTTTTTCTTAGCAAACGTATTACGAAAGTTGTGAAATCATTGTACTGTTTTGGCATTATACGACTAGCAGTTTCCTTTTGATGGATTGCGTGTGCATGGCCGTGGTGTTTGCGAGACTCTCCCAATACGAAACTGACTTACCGCGTAAGCCATTTACCCCGAAGCTACTAGTACAATGTCATGATATAAGTATAGGATAGAAATTAATCGGAAAATAAACATAGAGGCGGAGCCAACGACAGTTGACAAATAGCTGCCAATTTGACAGCTGTTTAAGTTAGGGGACATTGTGTATAGTGTTTTGGTAAACAGTTGTCAATTTTGAAAGGTTGCTTTTCACATGAAATCAAAACCTACATTTTTGCGATACGATTAATACGCATAATTCACGTAAACTGTCACAACTAAGGTATATGAGTGAAAAAAATATATTGTGACAAGAAAAGACTATATCGTCAAACAGACGTCGTTTTGGCATCGGACAAAGTATAGCTCATAGCTTATATTTTCATATATATCTGCGATGACCATGATTACGTTATTGCTGATATATGTACAAAGTATGAAGACATTAACTTAATAATCTACGTTGGGACGAGAAATTATTACGTTTTACTAATGTGATTGCTATATAGGTAAGACAACAAGGAGGAAGGTCATAGGTTGCGGCATGTAAACACATATTTGACTGGATCGCTCCGTGCCTTGTCATTTTTATACTACAATACTCTTCTCGATACTATTTTGTAGTAAGAAGAGTCTGATAATTATACCCGCGCAGACTCAAACATTAAAGGACAGTATGGCAAACCCTAAATTATAGAAGCTTTAAGCGCGTTAAAACAATTAAATCAGGACCTACTACTACTAAGTGAAATTTCTACAATTTATAAACCATTTACATATTTTAGAAGGAATTGTATAGTGCCAAAATGTGGTATGTCCCCTTTTTTCCCATTGCATTTAATTGTTGTACAACGTATAATTTGAATGTATTGGCCCTGTACACTCTTGTGGAATGTTTTTAGTAATTTTTTGTGTATACTAATGTATGTGTGTGTAATTAGATTAGTGATTGAAGTATTAATTTCTGTGCTTATGCTTCATGTGGATACATGATCATATAGTTACACCTGTTGTTCAATGCCTTCATTACGACATTGGTTACATGCATCAACAGTGTTTCAGATAGCACATAACCTACAGATGTAATATTCCAATGAAAGAATCCATCTCAATGGTAAATTTCACTTTTCAGAGCAATAGCACCAGTACACCACATAATTGCACAATTTTAGTTTTTAACAAAATTACGTGACTGATCTTACTTTAGACTTCTCTTTAAAAACTGTGGCAATACATGCTATACTTGTTAAAAATCCAAGATGATTGCAGAAGCACGCGACCAATCAAAGATGTATTATATAACCTGTATGGAGCTATGACCATATTTTTTATATGCAAAATATCAAGTTGATTAGTTGAAGCATTCATGAGAAACAAACTTTTACCTATGTTTAATAAAATCAACGATGTCAATGTCATAACCGAAATTATTTAATTTTTCTCATAAGAAGCTATGGCCATACATACTTGTTGAAAAACGTATGCAAAACAAATGCCCAAACCTAAGGTATTTTTTGTTAAAAATCCATGACGGTGAATTTTTCTCGTAAGAAGCTATGGCTATACATGCTATATTCACAATATTAAGTTGATCGATTGAACGACCCGTGTAAAACAAATGCCCACACTTGTGGTCATCGTTTTCCAAAATCCATGTGAAACAAATTTGTTGTCATCGAAATCAAAGATGGCAACCATACTACGTGACTGTTCAACATTATTTAATTTTTTAGTGACCACATATGCTAAACGACAAACATGAAGTTGACCAATAAAAGCATTAACAAAAAAATGTTGTTTCGAGATAAATGCTTTTTGCGTTTTCGAGAGAGAATCATGGCGGCCAAAATCAAGACATAAGTTTAACTAACATGAAACATAATCCATGCAACGATATACTGACGTCCATGCGCATGCGCATGCCAAATCATTGTAAAAGCATTGTAATTACTAGTTTAACAAGGCCAGTATTTCTCGTGTTTTTTTTAATTTCACATAGCTCAATCTGCACCATCTCAGCCTACTATAACTATAATTACTGGCAATAATCTGTCAATGAAGACAGTAAAATTGTTATGCAATGCAATTCATATGGTATTTCTATACCGACATGTAGTTGGTTGAGATATAGTCAGTCGCTACCAACACTGGATAGATATCAACTAGGTACGGATAATTGCAAACTAACTATTAATTCGAATAGCAGTGATGATAATGGTAGAACGTATACATGTCAAGTAATGAATGTCAAATGAAATAAAACAGAAGATATTATACTGGATAATAGATGTAAGTAAACCAACACTAATGTCATGGTACAGTCTTATAATATAATAACAACAACAACAAATGTTCAAATCACCAAAATTTAGGATGACAACACATAGTCTGCTGCATTATGACCAGGCAATAATACGTAAAATGTGGAGAAACTTAACATTGGATAGTTACATGTTTTAAAGGGTGACTTAAACAGAAACTCCTTCTGATTGCCACATAAAACTTGATTGACAGTATAATTATGACAACATTCAAGATGACTAGAGGTGTTATACGATATACATTATAGTTATTGAGAAACAAATCACAATAATGAACTGAATGTATCTCAAATGTTATTTCAATGCACAGATGCCCCGGGAGATTCAGTCTGTACTTTTCAAATTACTACGTCACCATTTTACCTACTCAATGATAAATTGAAAATAAGATGTCAATTCATTAGCAACCCTACACTGGTATCGTGGTAACAATCAGATACAAGGTTTATCTTCATCTACAAATGATGACTCAGTTACAAAAGATTACACATGGAATCTGAATAGGAATGATAATGGGGAAATGTATAGGTGTGAAGCTACTAATGTTGTACAAACTACACCATTAACATGTCAACTTGGACCATTCAATGTATACTGTAAGTATATCTTATATATGGTATCTAAATAGAAATGATAAACAAGTAATGTATACATGTAAAGCTACTAATGTTGTACAAACTACACCATTAACATGTCAACTTGGACCATTCAATGTCTACTGTAAGTATATCTTATATATGGAATCTAAATAGAAATGATAATCAAGTAATGTATACATGTAAAGCTACTAATGTTGTACAAACTACACCATTAACATGTCAACTTGGACCATTCAATGTCTAATGTAAGTATATATTATGTATGGAATCTGATTATAAATGATAATCAAGTAATGTATACATCTAAAGCTACTAATGTTGCACAAACTACACCATTAACATGTCAACCTGGACCATTCAATGTCGACTGTAAGTATATCTTATATATAATTTACATAGGCATATCAAAGTAGTGTATTGTAATGTTTGTGGCTTCATCATGTATGATTTTTTATATTGTTGTGCCTAATCATTAAATTCAAATTTGTTTTACAGTTCCAGCAGAGAGTGTGACATTATCTGGCATAACCAATCCTGTGAAGGAAGATGAAACTAACATACTAACTTGTACCACATCAACCAGTAATCCAGCATCTGAGATATCATGGTTAAAAGATAACAATGTATGGACTGCTAATACATATGAATCTATTACATCTGATGTTACAATAGATGGAGATTATAATGGTAAAATAAGTGAACAACAGATATCAATATTCATACAAGCAGAACATAACAGTAAATCATATCAATGTCAATCAAGTCATTCAGACTTCACATATCCTGTGACCTCTACTGTCCTTGACCTTACTGTGCATTGTAAGTACTGTATGTTAGTTTATAGTGTGGCATTCACAAAAAGGATTATATGCATTAGAATAAGGGGAAAACATAACCTGACTACATTTTCAAAAACATGGAAACAGCCTTATCTGAGAAGTTTGTCATATGCTAATGTGTGGGCGATAACAATTTGTACTCAGATCAGAACTTTTTTTCTTCTATGCTTAACATTTCATTCTTGTAAGTATTAACCGGCATGAGAAATGAATGGCAACACTTTTATCTCGATACTGACAGAAATTAATTGTGTTTGAAAAGAAAATATTGAATAACTTGTGCACAAAACTGCACGATAAATGGAAGTTAAAAACACACAGTTTCAAAGCATGAGCTGTGAAAAGTTTTACTTTATATTTTTGACTAGGCAATGAAATATTTGATTTAATATGTTTTAGCACCATTTTGAAATTGGTATAAATAAATTCTAACAATTCTGATTGTGCAGATTAGCAAATATCTTTTTTATTTCATTTCATTAATGTTCTTTTGCATACAAACACAAACGCCCACCCCGATTTTGATAATAAAGAAATTGAGGTCATGTCCGGGCATACGCCCAGGTTTTTTTTCTACATTTGTAATAAAAAAATAAAAAAAACTATTTTTGTTCGTTGTATTAACAGGTGACTTTCTTGCAGTCTGTTGTGATTCTGATAAAAACTTCTGAAAATAAATGTCAACTGCGTAAAACGAGGAGTGAAGGCGAAATAGCGGTGAGAGCTTTCAGGGCAGCGCGTTCACTGTTGTTTACAAAATTTTTACAATTACATTTATTTTTAAAGATTTGTGTATGTGCAGAAACGATAGTTTTTTTTTTGAAATTTGTCGTGGCTCTGAAAATGGCCGTTTGGTTTTTGCTTCCTTAGAAACGATTCAAGCAAATCTTACAGTATTTAAATACATCTCACACCTATGTTAATATTCTAATTTGTAACTGCTATTGTGTTGTTAATCAATGTAAATTTGATTGAATTTATATGGAGGGAAATATGATAACTGTGTGTCCTTATTTGAAGATTTTGCTTTCATAAACCCGCATTGTATCTTACTAAATCACAAAATATTTGTTGTAGAATGAAATAAAAAAGAGGAATATTCTAAACTTTCATTTGACAAGAATGAAGTTGTTTACATGAAATCAGGACAGAAGACAGTCGAATTTCCAAGAGACCGTGTTTGTATCAAGAGTATTATTTCGACTGGAATGTTTGAAATCAGTATAGCGGAAGCATGGAATATTAATGGCGTCTCTGGACATTCTAATGTAGTGATTAAGAGGAGTAGTAGTGAGTATTTGGTGAAACATTCAATTGAATTGTATTTATATTCAAAACAAAATAAAAATAATGTGAACCATGATACCGATTTTCAGACGGCGATCCGTTGGTAGAAAATTAAATTGTGAAGGAAATAGAAATACTGATGTTGTACAGAAAAAGGTGGGTAGACTGATAGAATAAAACTTTTGAAAAATGTGATGCATCAAAAGAGTTTTTCATGCAGTGAATCTTATATTTATCTCTTTGTTATTTAGTCCCCAGTTACATAATACTGGATCATTTAAATGTCGACTTGAAGACATTTCTTCAATCGCAGTACACATATGAAGCCATGGAAGCTCCGAATAAAGAACTGATTTTATTCATATTGAGTATCGCCAATGGAATGGAACATCTGTCTAGCTTAAAGGTATTGTCATATTATCACTAATGTGTGTGTGTAAGTCGGGATATTATCTTTCTGAATGAAATATTAGCATTAATATATACTGGTACAGTGGCGTCAGCATGAGCGGGGTGGTCAGAGGGGCGGTCGCCCCTCCACAATCGAGTTGAAACCCTTTCTGTCAGCAAAATGTGCCATTCAAAGTGCAGTAAATAGCGTTTCAGAGGGTCTATATTGCAAACTTGTTAAGGTGCATGCCGTGGGCCCTCTAGTAAAGTCACGCCCTGGATGCGAGGTTGGTGAGCAGATTTCGGCCCTCCATGTAAAATTTCGTGTCGCCGCCTCTGTGGTAGAATAAAAAATGCAACCTTTATAAATGTCACTGCAGTAATATCATTTAACAACTCACGTACGTTAATTCGCGTCACCCTAGGGTGATTTTCATACCGCAACAACGTCGAAATAGTTCATCCATCGTCCAAATGGTACAGCCAAAAAATGACGTTGAACTTCAAAATCACTCGGCTTCACTGAATTTATACACATATTTACAGTTAACATGTCGTACTCCTTGTTGTTACTACAATTTACTTTTCGTTGTTCGTCACCGCACTTTACTGGGAGCAGCTCACTACAATATGGGGAAAAATATAATGGACTGTGAATATCAAAAACGCCGAATCTTTACTCATAACATAGTGACATTGCGTTTATTTTGTATTTCAGATAATGCATCGATATTTGACTGCTGGACATGTGCTGATTAGTGATGACAAGAAGTGTAAAATTTCTAATTTTGGTTATGCTAGTGACGTAATAGATGATGCACGGTTTTTTGAGAAAACAAAGGTAAAATGATTACAGAAACGCTTGCTGTAGTAGTGCCCATGATGGAAATGATTTGTGATTTACTCTTTGAGTAAACTCACAGCATTGATATTCTGGGTTGTAATATTCTTTCCTTTTTTCAGGGTAATTTTCCGTATCAATGGATGTCAGTTGAAACGCTGTTAAACAGACGATTTACTCCCAAGAGTGATGTATGGTCATTTGGTATTGTAACATGGGAAATTATAACTCAAGGTAAAACGTATCTGATTTCAATAACGGGGACGTGACGAACGGCTAATCGCCACTTTATATTCAATAATAAGTTGAATGATATTAAATGTAATAGTTATATATTTAATGGTATAGTAAGGACGCATTTTTAAATGTGCGGAAAATAATAAATTAACACAAACAATACAATAATTTAGCAAACTGTTGCGTCATTTCTATAAAAATCTGAAATTATGATTATCGACATAATTTTTCTACAGGATCAACCCCTCATCAGGATACAACAGAAGAAGGTGTGAGAGTGATGGTAACTAATGGAAAATTATTACCACATCCAACTCATTGTCGCGCTGCTTTGTATGTATAAATTTTGATATAAATAGTACATCCATCCGTTAACATGTATACTCACTGTTACTGCCTACTCAAAGAAACCTACTAAGCACAATTGTATTTGTATTTTGCGTTTCTCTACTGTGAATGTTTTATTTTTAAGATAAACAAAAATATTTTGTATTTAGTATTTTTGCATCATTGCATCATCATACATACTTTACATATGTTCGTGTTGCAATAGGTATCAACTGATGAAATCGTGTTGGAATCGTCATCCTCAAGATCGGCCGACATTCACCAAATTGGTAAAGACAATTAGGTCACTGCTGAACGATAGCAAGGTAAGATTAGTTTGTAACACATTTAAATTCAATGAATAATTAAACAAGAATTATCTTATCATTGTCTATACAGCATGGACAATTACTTACTCTTGTGTTATATTCTGTTTATTTAACAGGAACCAGATGACTCGTTCAATATTAATATGTCTCCATATGCAAATATATGAACATGACTTTGCATTGAAGACTGGCGAACGAGATGTGCGTTATACGCCCGACAAATGTGTCTTTGTTATAAATCGATCAATTAAACAGATGTTTTTTCTACTTTTACATCCGCCTAAATCGAATTTCAGCTGTTCATTTATATACTCATATACATGAGGTTTGATTATTTTAAAAATAGCAAAAATGCCGAAATGACACATATTTTTGGTCACAATAGTTGTACATTCAAAATTGGTCGATAGTATTCACTTTTAAGAAATTTGAAACGAAAGATAGTAGATACCGTTATAATGATTTCTCCCAATAGCAGTCTTGTGATTGAATGTACTACAAGTTTATCACCTCAAAATCATTTTATAGATTACCTTGTCATTTTATATATCCAGAATGCCTAGTTCACCGCATTTATCTTGTTTTACCAATATTTTAGTAGTATTATTATGAACATTACACTATATAATGCATAAAATGTTGTTGTTCGGCATATAATTACTTTTACATAAACAAGTTTGTGGCATATATTAGAGTGGTCGGCAACAAATACACGTATGCTGCAATGACATATGTTAAGTAGTGATCTGTGATCAACGAGTTCATCTTCTCACAAGACACATTTTTAAAGTCACATAATTATAAATAATATGCTGTACGCAAATTACAAATTGTATATATATTTTCTTTATGTAATAACAATTATTATCCAGTCTTTACATTCATAGCCGACAGCCGTGTTGATCTGTGTAATGTGTCACCTTATGGCATCTAATTGCTGTGGTGTAAATTTAATTTTCTATGGTAAATCATTAAACAGAGCCGACAACTAATTGTTTTATTATGCTTCAATTATAAGCTGGTTACAGCGACTTTAGTTGAATTTATCATATTGAGCAACTACTCTAGCAACTAAATTGATGATCAATGAGAACTGCACCTTGACAATGTGGCAATACACATGTCTCTTTATATTCCAATAACTGACCTCGTGTTGTTGGTAACGCCATCTAATAAAGCGATCGTCTTTTACTCAATTAAGTAAATCTATTAGCCATATAAATCAAGGCAAAAAGTAAGTAAACTTACGTTGAATATATTATCATATGTATTGAGCACGTATTCGTGACAGAAGTACAAAACCTATCGATTGTCAATTGTTTATCATTTTCGTGACTTACAAGGAAATGTTTTGCCACCGTTTGAGACACCATATGCAAATGTTTGAATACGAAAGTTAATGGCTGCATAACTATCATGCTTGAATTTATTCATTATTAACATCGTATAAACGCAGTATTCATCATGTAAACATGCCATTCGTCGTACTTCCTCGTGGTGTTGTTTCATATTTCTTAATTACCCATGTAATAAATTTTAATAATCTTGACGTGAAAATTGTTAATTAACTAAATGCGGAATACGTTTTTATTCTCCCTTAGAAAATTTGTGATATTTTCTTTTTCTTTACCTAAGCTGTTCATATAAAATGGGCAGTTTTCTAGCGTTATTTTTATTTGAAGATTTACGTGAATTGTAATCTACATATAAACATTTTACCTACCTAAAACATCAACAAATATTTTAATTAAATATAAAGTCGATGATGAGAAATTTGATTTGTGTCTTATTAAATTGCACTGCTTTGTTTAGTGATGATGTTAGTGATTACTTGAATTATTCATATTTCGTGTTTGTACACATATACACTATTTTAAGTATGGTTTATTGTAGGTTCATACTTTAAAATTATGAGTATTCAATGTATATTATACACATATAAACGAACGTAACAGATTGATATTACCACGAGATCATGTGATTGTAAGTTTGCACAGAATACATTATTACATTTTGTTTCTTTTAATTAAATGAGTGTGCGTAATATCAGTTAATAATTCCCAGTTGGATGGGTTCTAAAAATAGCATTTGCTTCCTGGTGACATTGATGTGAAATAAAACTAATTCCATAGATATATAATGTATTAACAATGGTAGAATATCGTGCAGGTTTTAAATACAAGTTTATTCTTTCACGTTAAAAATTCATAGTTTATTTGTGGATTCGTTCCCTGTAGCGTCAATACTTATTTTTCATTCTGGCCCCAATTAAAAGGGAAATATTTATGTATTACTTTGATATCCAAAACAGTCATGAATACCAGCAGCTGACGACATGAATTGAGGTCAAAGCGCATATAAACACACAACTCAATCTCACCATGGTAGTAACGTTGACAATTTTGCTCGCAAAGTAGCCTAATAGATGGACTTTTCGACCTTTGGTATGTAATTGACCACCCTTACATGGAATGTCTCACGCGCGTAAATGAGCGCGAAGGCGAAAATCACTGCAAGCGCGGGTAAAAATCATGCGGAAGCATTGGAAATTCATAGTCTTCTCTTTGCCCTGAAAATGAGCTCTTTGGGTTGTGAAAACTGTATACGCAACTTCTGTTGGGATCAGTATTTGTATGTCATATCAATATCACATAATATCATATACACATCACATAATGATGTCTATCCATCATATAATTTTATATTTGTACTACGTAATGTCATAACTACATTATTTAACGCCATATCTGCAACACATGGTGGTAAAAAATGGCAAGGCTATCGTTTTTAGGCAACGGACTGAGTATAGAAACCATTAATGCTGTAGGGTGTATTGGGGGATGTAGGAGCTTATGTTTGCAATGACTCCTGTAATATGCTATCTTGTTTCCAGGATGCAGCCTGGTATGTTCTTGTTTGTCCAATTATGAACAATTGTTCTGGTGGGTCATTGTTTATACACCCTGCAGCTTGAAATGAATTGCGAACATTCAATCTGCATATCAAAGGTATTGAGGACATGAACCTAAGTTGCCAGTATTTACTTCAAATTCAATTGACCCTTGTGTTGACCTGTATTGTGTACCGAATTTCGTGGTAATCAATGGTTGTAGAGCTGTATAGGCTGTATAGTCTAGATAAGCGTTCTAATTCAAAGAAATGACCAATAGATTCTTATTTATGTAATGTTCAGAATTAAACTAAAATTTACGCACATGTATATGTGTCGTGTCATAAAAAGACCACGAGAAATTTAAAAGCCCAATCGTTAAATGTTGTTGTGGTTGATATTGTGAAATAAAACCTCATTCTTTACTGCAGTCTGTCTTCTTTTTTTCACCATGTTTCTTTTCTATCATTTATGTACAGCCTTGCTAAACCTTGCTAAGCATTCAAAAGAGAGAATGTTTGTACATGTTATCTATATTTTAAAATCGTTTTTTGAGCATGTTCCACTATTCACAATTCTACAAAATTTCAACAGTCTATAGCCAAGATTATTTGGATAATAAAAAGCAAAAAAAAAAATCACTCCCAAGTGCCCACGAACCTGCATCTACACCTTAATAACATAGCAACTCATGAAAACATTTTGTACAAGTCATTGATGTGGCTCGACAACCTAGCGGCCTATGGGGCATTTGCCCAGTGTCCCGGTGGCCCAATCCGCCCCTGTTGACTATAACAATCAAGAAACCGGAAACCATGAATTTACCACATAAATACCACATAAATACATAGTATAGAATTTTACATACGGCGCATGTTTAAAAAATTTAAATACTATTATTTAGACATTCCTAATAAAGATATAAATAGTGATTTTTTCATGTTACTAATGTAAAATGAAGAATACGTACCAAACCCCTAAAATTAATATTTAGCGAGGGCAGCCAAAGCGGTCTTCGGACCTATAGTGATCGCTCTATAGATAAAAAGGTGCACTTTCCGGTCAATGGACGCCGTTTGCTGTTTTTACAAATTATTGGGAGCGAAACAGCTCATCCATAACATCTCCAGGATGTTATTCGATATATATGTACAATTCAACTCAAAGTAATACTCTAAGATTGTTTTCTGGGCATGACTGATTGACTCGTACAATATTTATGTAAGCTCAGTAGTTAAATTTATTACTATTTGTTATTATTACTATTTTTTTTTAGTAATTATTATTTTCTGTGCATGGATATATCTCTTTCATGGTTAATTTAGGATTGAACAGTTTGGAACACGTTTGACACACAACCTAATGCAATATACCTTTATCTATCTATCTTATCTTTATATGCTAACATTCATCAATGCATGTAAATTGTGTCCCCACAAAAAACGAGAAAATATAATGCATATATTAAAGACCATGAATATGTTTTAACAGTGCTTTATTGTAACTTGTTAGCATGGTGTCATTTATTTTCCCGTTAATCAAAAGGTATTATTTACCCTAACTTTTGAAATGTACATCACGTAGTTTTTGTAATGTACGTTATATATTCAGGAGATAAACATATTAATAACGCATTGAATTTCTGAATCAGCATGGTAATCACTTACAGATCATAATTGTTCAGTGAAGTGCTATTTTAGATAAAATACACAGCTTGACACGACTTGACACTCATTCACACCATAGTAAAAACCGATGCAACATAATAACACAAAATATTCCATGTTATGATAATTTATGAACATTCATATTATCAAATACCAAAAGATATAATATGATGTATACCACTTGTTCAATATATGTTTTAGTTATATTTTCTCTGCGTTTTTTGATCCGTAATCCACATTTATAATGGACAAAAACTCTACAAGTTCTAGTGAATC